GGCTTAATAAGACTGGAAATTTTCAGCTTGGAAGAGAGAGAAATAAGGGGGGGGAGAATATATGCTAGAGGTTTATAATATCATAACTGATGTGAAGAAAGTAAATAATACAAGAATTAAGGATCATCAAATGAAATTAATAGGTAACAGGTTTAAAACAAATAAAACAAAGTTTTTCTTCACACAATGCACAGTCAACCTGCGGAATCCTGTGCCAGAGGATGTTGTGAAGGGCAAGACTTTAACAGGGTTCAAAAAAAGAACTAGATAAATTCATGAAGGAGAGTTTTATCAATGGCTATTAGCCAGGCTAGGCAAGGATGGTGTCCCTAGACTCTGTCTGTCAGGGCTGGGAATGGGCAACAGAGGATGGATCACTTGATGATTTCCTGTACTGTTCAAGAGGAGACAATGAGGAAAAGGGCGGGGGGGAGGGGAGTAGGGAAGGTGTCAGTGGGGATGAGAGAAGGGAGGGAACAGGGTGATGCTTGGAGAGGAAAGGGGAGGGACAATAGGGGCAAGAGGGAGGAAGAGAAGACAGAAGGAGTGGGTGCCAGAAGAGGGGTTGAAAGGGGGGGTGAGCATGAGGATGGCAGGGGATGGAGCAAGTCATGTGTGAAGGCAGAGGTTCATGAGGGGAACTGGGGCAGAGGGTGGTGAGGGGGTGGGAACCAGGGAGAAAGAGGGCAAGAAGGTCAGGGGCAGTGAGAGAAGGGGGAGGCACCATTGCTTGACCAGTCTTAGGGGCAAGGGAAAAAGTAAACATAGGGTAATAAAACATAATTGTCTAACACTAACTATGCCCCATCTGGTCCTGTCCACGAGGGGATCACGCATACATCACGAAAATTTCTATAGGGCAATATTGTCATACTACCTCATCACTAGCCTATCAGGCCCTGCCAAATGCAGACCCTAGCATGGCACAGACACCGAAGTTTTGTATAAAAGACCCTCAATCCCTTTGTTCGACGGAGGTTCTGTGTATTGAGGGCACATGTCTTTTTTTTGCCCGGCTAAAGGATTGATCACCCTGAGGCTGCCTCTCCACCCTTCGAATCAAATATAGGGGTGCACGAGTCCTGAGTATGCTCCGAGTTCTAGTGTGTCTTTATGTTGTTATCGTTTCTGGATTTGTAAGTATTGCTTAAATTTATTAATTGATGGTTTAGTTAATAGTTAAGCTGTATTAATTATATCCTATAATCCTGTGAAGTATAAGTAAGTCATATTAATTGTATTGTATAGATAGTGTGATTTTGTGCTATGTGAAAGGGTTAAGCTTTAGCCCAGGTATTAGTGTTAGAAGAAAAACCTTTGAGTTGTCAACTTGTAACAGTAAAAAATCAATGACTAACTCCACCAGCTGTCCTAAAGTGACATTGGAGGGATTGGCTGTGGGGGGTTCTTTTATTATCATTATTTTGGCTTTGGTTTTTGTATTTTTCATTTGTATGCTATGTTGCCTTAGGCGAATTAGGGATAGTGATTTGATATAAGTGAATTGTAATCAAAGAATTGTAATCAGTTGGGTATAATTGTGCCCAAGCTTTTATACGCTGTAAAAGTACTGAGCAATTGCTAGTTTAAACACCTACTTGTTAATTGCTGGTTTTGACCACTTAATAAAAATCATTTGTTTCACCATCATCCATTAGTTTTCACTGGGTAGTTGGCTTTAACCCTTGAGGCTCCCATCACATCACCGAACCAAGGTGTAACAACGGAAAAGTTTTCCATTAAAAGCATTTTCGGAAAAGAGCGTCTAGATTGGCACGGATGCTTTTCCACAAAAGCACTTTTTGCGGAAAAGCGTCTGTGGCCAAATTAGACGCGCTTTGCGCAAAAAAAGGCCCAATGGCCATTTTTGCGATCGGGGCTTTTTTGCGCAAAACAAATCTCAGCTGTCTACACTGGCCCTTTTGCGCAAAAGTTTTGTGCAAAAGGGACTTTTGCCCGAAAGGAGCAGCATAGTATTTCCGCAAAAAGCACTGATTTCTTACAGTAGGAAGTCAGTGTTTTTGCGGAAATTCAAGTATAGACACCTGGCAAGTTTTTCTGGAAAAGTGGCTGATTTTCTGGAAAAACTGACCAGTCTAGACACAGCCCTAATGTTTGCAACATCACCAGTGAAAGATTATTTTTCAAACAATTTTTCTTTCTTTTTACAGAATGGAAATGCTAGTTCTCTGAAAACATCGACTTCATGTGCAATGGCAGTCAAAAAAGCAAACAATGTTGGGAATCATTAAGGGATACATAATAAGACAGAAAATATTTTAATGACTCTTTATAATCTAATCTAATCTTGAAAACTGTTTGCACATGTGATTGCCCCATCTAAAAAAAATACTATATTTGGAAAAGGTTCAGAAAAGGGCAACAAAAATGATTAGCGATATGGAAGGCTTAATAAGACTGGAAATTTTCAGCTTGGAAGAGAGAGAAATAAGGGGGGGGAGAATATATGCTAGAGGTTTATAATATCATAACTGATGTGAAGAAAGTAAATAATACAAGAATTAAGGATCATCAAATGAAATTAATAGGTAACAGGTTTAAAACAAATAAAACAAAGTTTTTCTTCACACAATGCACAGTCAACCTGCGGAATCCTGTGCCAGAGGATGTTGTGAAGGGCAAGACTTTAACAGGGTTCAAAAAAAGAACTAGATAAATTCATGAAGGAGAGTTTTATCAATGGCTATTAGCCAGGCTAGGCAAGGATGGTGTCCCTAGACTCTGTCTGTCAGGGCTGGGAATGGGCAACAGAGGATGGATCACTTGATGATTTCCTGTACTGTTCAAGAGGAGACAATGAGGAAAAGGGCGGGGGGGAGGGGAGTAGGGAAGGTGTCAGTGGGGATGAGAGAAGGGAGGGAACAGGGTGATGCTTGGAGAGGAAAGGGGAGGGACAATAGGGGCAAGAGGGAGGAAGAGAAGACAGAGCCAGCAGAAAAGGGTTTGAAAGAAGGGGTGGGCATGAGGAAGGCAGGGAATGGAGCAAGTCAATTGTCAGGGCACAGAGGGGGTGAAGAAAACTGGGCCACAGGATTGTGTGGATGAAGCAGAAGGGCAGACACAGGAGGAGTGAACACAGGGGGGAATATAGGGGCAAGAGGGAGGAAGAGAAGACAGAAGGAGTGGGTGCCAGAAGAGGGGTTGAAAGGGGGGGTGAGCATGAGGATGGCAGGGGATGGAGCAAGTCATGTGTGAAGGCAGAGGTTCATGATGGGAACTGGGGCAGAGGATGGCGAGGGGGTGGGCACCAGGGAGAAGACACAGGAGGAGTGAACACAGGGGGGAATATAGGGGCAAGAGGGAGGAAGAGAAGACAGAAGGAGTGGGTGCCAGAAGAGGGGTTGAAAGGGGGGGTGAGCATGAGGATGGCAGGGGATGGAGCAAGTCATGTGTGAAGGCAGAGGTTCATGATGGGAACTGGGGCAGAGGATGGCGAGGGGGTGGGCACCAGGGAGAAAGAGGGCAAGAAGGTCAGGGGCAGTGAGAGAAGGGGGAGGCCCCAGGAAGGGGATGCCACAGGATTGTGTGGATGAAGCAGAAGGGCAGACACAGGAGGAGTGAACACAGGGGGGAATGAAGGGCTGGTGCAGGGGTCAAGGAGGACCCCAAAGGACTAGGGGGAGAGGGAAGAGCAGGAGAGGAGGATAAGCGGTGGAGGGGGGGGCAGTAGCAGGCACCAGGGGAGCAGAAGGGGAGGGTGGGAGACATGGCAATAGAGAGAAAAGGGAGAGGTTTATAAGATAGGTATTAACAACATGGTGCCACAGTGGCCCACATATGAACAAGTGCACACAAACTCAGTCCCGGTGCATAAGACAAAATTCACTCTGCTCATTGGAGGAAAATCTTAGACTCTGGGGACACTTCCCCCAGTCTCTCCCCTCCAGTTAATGCAATGCACATTGGGTTAATGCAATTGCAAGCTAGTTGCATGGTGTGGGGGGGGGGGGGGGAGGTGATGTGGGTTGCAAACCCATCCCTATTGATAGGACGATGGTGGGAGAAGTTCTTAGAGGGGTCACACAACACCCTATACTTCTGATCACGTGTCCATCTTCACCCCGGGGAATACTACCTCCAGGGGTGGGACTTCTTGTGGTAGGGAGTGTGGCTAACGGAGTGGTCAGGAGGCGTGGCTAAGCTGTCCCTAAGTTTGGCTCCGCAAATATGGTCACCATACTTATTGAACTCGTGCTGGTGAAAGAGAAGCTTTGGAGCCACCCATAGCTCCTGCTCAGGTCTGAGGAACGACAGGGGAGAACAAGGAAAGCTTCTCTCCAGGTCCACTTCAATAATGGCTATTGCCTCATCCACCTTGCTTTGCTCATATGCCGGGTAAAACGCTGCGCACTGCAGGAGGACTCGGCCTCCCCGCCCCTTCAGTGGGTGCAGACTACCGGCGGAGCGGATACGCGGCTGAGACGTTGACGAGACACAGCAACATCACAGCCCTTCAGCACAGAGGAAAACTTGAACCGAGCCGCTCTCCGCAGCAAAGACGCAGGGTTTCCCGCCCTTTGTCTCCCCTGGAGAGCAACGTGCCTATAAAACTCACCTTCCCCTACCCTCCCCGCTCGAGCGGGGCGAGCTTGGCGCAGGCTCGCAGGTGCTAAGTTCGCTCCAGGCGGTCGCTAGGCCCTGATTGGCCGGCGGCGCTCCCTGACGTGCCCGGTCTCAGTGATGCTCTCCGCAGCAAAGACGCAGGGTTTCCCGCCCTTTGTCTCCCCTGGAGAGCAACGTGCCTATAAAACTCACCTTCCCCTACCCTCCCCGCTCGAGCGGGGCGAGCTTGGCGCAGGCTCGCAGGTGCTAAGTTCGCTCCAGGCGGTCGCTAGGCCCTGATTGGCCGGCGGCGCTCCCTGACGTGCCCGGTCTCAGTGATCCTGCCCTTCCGTGTGATCGCGCGCTACGGGGCGGTCAAGTGTTGAAACGAGCTGGTGCAGGGCTGCGCGGCGATTCCGGAGCAGCCAACGAGTGAGCTGACCACGCTGTCTGCAGCGCAAGGCCCGCCCCTGCTCCGAGGTGGGGGAGCTACCGAGGTCCTCCCCAGCTCCGGCGAGCGGCCGGTTCAGGCTGCTTCCTTGGTTTTCCCAGCGTGAGACACGCAGGGGGCCTCGGTGGCCGGACGGAGCTTAAACCTTCTCGGGCGTGTGAAGCCCCCTTCCCCTGCCCGCGGCCGGGCCGCCAAGGCCTCAGAGGCCATGTTACCGTCTCGCTCCGAAGCCCTTCCCCAGGGGAGTGGGTGCCTGGGCATGGGGACGTCTCAAGGAGGCGCCCATCCCGCCATGCTTCTTACGTGTGAGTAGGGGGAGCCTCGTGGCCGGAGGCACCGGCTGCAGCGTGCCCACTGGTTCCCTGTGTTCCCTCCTGCCCTGGGTGCAACTGGAGCCCTGTCCTACACTGCAAATCATCCCCACTGGAAATTGCGAGGCTGAAATGGCGCATGGTTATTTGAAGGCACTGTGAAGGAGGTAAAAGACAGGACTTAACTGTTTTAAAAAGGTGTGAAGGCCTGAACTTTATTTGCCTTCGGGAAAGGGAGGGAAAGCAGGAAGGGGATTTTGCTTGTATTTATTAAGATTCAAAATCAAGTGACTGTCTATACTAACAAGCTGAACATGCATAATTAAAACAGTAAAACCCTTTCCACTGTGGACACATTGTTATGAAGACTCTTCATACTGGAATATCAGAACCGGAATAAATGTAGGTTAAGTTACCTATAACAGGCTTTGCGGTATAGTATAATTATTCCATTTCTAACAATGAGATATGCCAATAAAATTGGATGAGTAGACTAGACCTCAAGTGCTATATAGCCAGACAGATATTGTGAAGATTATAGAGCTGGTGAAGCAATGATGCCATAAAAGTCAAAAAATAAAAATTGATATGGGATGGTGTTTTTCTTTTTAGATAAACTCTTATAACCTTTTATTTTGTTCCTCTTTTTGTAAGGACCAACAGTGTATATGTGGGATTTGACATAGGGATGTTAAAATGCATTTAAGTAACTGTTTAATTGCTGAAATTTTTCAGTGATTACATGTGGGATAGCAGTCCGCTCCCTGGGAGGCATTGCATGCAAACAGTTGGCTTTTAAGCCGGCTCCCCATGTGTACCGGCTCCCGTCTGACCTCAGCACTGTTGCCATGGAGCGGGAGGAGAGAGGGGGCAGGCGGCTAAACACGATTATTGCTATAGGCAATCACAAATTTAATCACTTTTTACAAAACAGAAAGATAACTTCAGATAATTGAGCTATTGCTTAATAAAAGAAAATATACATGTGAGCTAGAGATGTCAATGTGATGATTAACCACGTCGACTACATGATTAACTGATAAGCCTGCCTCAGAGGCAGCAAGGGAAGAGGTAGCAGAAGCTGGTGCCCTTGAGGATCTGGCTTTAAGCAGGCTCCCCACAAGAACTGCATCCACCCCCTTCTCCCAATAGAGAGGTAGCAGTGCAGTAGATGAGGGGAACAGGCTGGAGTCGATATGCGCAGGGAACCAGCTTTCAACATTCTGAAACATCCCATAATCCTTGTTGAATGAGGTTTACATGGACATCGGAGTAGCGAACTCATTATTTTGAAAGCTATTTCAAAGTAACGGGCTTCTTTAAAAGACATGGAATAGCTATTTTGGGATACCAAAAGTATCCCAAAATAGCGCCACTGTCTAGCACCTTGTGACTACAGCGCACTTAGTATAGAGCATACTTTTATGAAATGTAGCTTACAGTTTTATACAGGCTGTCCTCACTTCAAGTCCAAGATACATTCCAAAAAACTTGGACTTATAGTAAAGTAACTTAAAGCAGGGAATTTTTTTTCCCGTGGCTGACTTCCATTTGTGCAAATTGGGGTTTTTTTTTGTTTTTTGTTTTTGGTGTGTAATGTAAGAACGGGAATGGGAGGACTTGTAACGCATCAGTTCCTACAAGCTAAGGATATTAACTAATGAGTAATTTACTAGTCAAGTAGTTGACAGGCACTTCCGCAGCAAGGAGAGGGGGAAGCGACTAGTGGACTATTCTGTCGACTATCTGATAAGCATAGTTGACTAGTCTTTTACATCCCTAATATGCATGTGTAGGATTTCCACAGAGTGAGGATCTTCGGAAATTAAAACTGTGGTTTTCAAATTACTAAAATTGACCGTAGGGGTTGAGCAGCTGATGTAGCACTTTAGACTACTATTTGGAGTATTAGATAACAAAACATCTTATGAAAACCTATTCCATAAGAGCATGTGCAATGTTTAAATACTTGGCATGTAATTACACATCAGATATTCTGTAAAAACAAGTATACGTTGGTTTCCACTATTAAGAATATTTTACATTCCTGTCGTGCCTTTAATCTCCCTGATCTCTGTACTTTACACACTCTTCAAATATTAGTAGGATATGGAATAATAATATCGAAACAATAGAGAAACTGAATGTAGAGATAGTTATGCAATGAAAGGAATTAAAATTAACTTAAATTTGGTTTAATATCTCTTTATTGTTTGTGGCTTATAAGGAAAAAACTCCAATCAATGAGTGAGAGAATAATAAGTATTACTTACTTTTTGAACAATATATCCTTCCCACAATACAAATAACTGGTGAAATAAGGAGCTGCAGTAACAAAGCAAATAAAATATGTCTTAAAGGAAACAAGCATAAGCCTTCTGTTCTGTTGCTTAGCAAGAAGGCTGGCGGGAGGAAAGGCCTTGTGAAGACAGGCAGTTGTAACTCTTAATTGGATTAAGATGGGAAATAAGTGTTGATTGTCTCACAGGTTTATATCTGATGCCAGTAATTGCCAATGCGACCGTTTGTTTGAATATAAAAATTAGGGATGTTAGTGAGTGTCAATTACACAAGTAACCAATAAGGCTATTTTTATTGGTAAAAGGTATCAACTACATGCAATTCCCCTCCCCTTGCTGCTTCTGTATCAGAGGCAGCAGCGTGGGGGTGTGGGGAGGAGGGTAGGCAGGAGCCAACATGCAGGATAAGCCAGTTTAAAAGCCAGGTCTCTAGGGGCACAGGCTACGGTGGAGCTGCCTGTCCTTACACCCACACACTGTTGCCTCTGATAGAGTTGCAGCAGTGTGGAAGGTGAGGGGAAACATGCAGAAGATGGCTTTCAAGCTGGCTCCCTGTGCGTATTGGCTCCCATATTGTTCTCTTTACCAGAGCCAGCTGTATGGGGGGAGCCTGTGGTCATGCCTGCCCCTCTCCCCATGTACAAATGTATAACCTCTAGAATTTCCAGCAGTTACACGTTACACAAATAAACAATAGTTAACATCACTAATAGCAATGTACTTTTAATACCTATCTGACAGTGTCAAAGCCAACCAATATGGATCTAAGTAACTTTGAGCTTAGGCCAAATTCTCAAAGGTTTTGTTATTGTTTGGATGTAGTAAATTTTATTTAGGCTTTTGAGGCATGGTTAGATCAAATTGCGTAAGTATCTTTGGATTTTAACAAAGGAATTTATGGTTAAATTAGTAGTCAGTGGTTTCCCATCTTAATATCAATTTCAAAAACTAATAATTCCAACATAGACATAAGGTTAAGCCACTAGTATAGACTTCCAAGTGTAAGTAGCTGGTAAGGGCAGACCTGGAAATAAAAGCCATGTTATCTGATTATTCCCCTTCAAGGAGGAACATTTTTATTAAGCTCAGAGTATGTATGACTTGCTGAATTGATATGAGAAAGCCAAGAAAAAATATAGCACCCGCAGATGAGTCATAGAACATCTTCATCCTTTTCAGATTTTCTATTTTTGTATCACAGTCCAATAGCTGGAAGTTGAAGCTAGATAAATTCAGACTGGAAATTATATCAGCGTTTTTCTGGCATCTTCTGTCTTCTCTCCTCTCTCCACATAAACAGGCCTGTTTGTGCTGTTACCTTATCTCTTCACATACCACACAGACATACCTCATGTACACAGAACAGCTCAATGATTTCAAGAACAAAACTTCTTACAGAACAGCTCAGAACTAAACAATTCTAATCTTACTAAACTGTTATAACAAAATCAATTCTTCGTAATCATCTAAATCACATCATACACTTTATGCTAATAATACATACAGACATTGCAAACTAAAACAATTTCATCAGATTGGCCTACACATAACCTGTTTATACCATTTCATGAATTAAAATGGCACGAGCTAGAATAATGTGGAAGAATGTCTTCAGCACAATGCCATGCAATTTTTTAGGCTGGGATTTTCAAAGTAGCAAATGGGATTTAGGTATGCAAACCCCATTGAAATTAAGTGGGAGTTGAGCACCTCATTTCATTAGGGTAGTGGTCACCAACAAGTAGATGGGGGTCTATCGGTAGATCTCGGAGCCTCAGATAGGACATCCTGACTGGTTTGACCAGAAAACTATCAAGTGCCTGCATTGCAGCTGCCCTTGCACCCACTACCATGCTTTTCCTGCCCTCTGACTTGGAGCGCTTTGTAGATCTTCCTGCTTGCTGTGCAGGCTCAGGGAGATGGAGTGAGCAAGGGGGGGAGGCTTGAAAGGAGGCAGGACAAGGGAATTTGGGTTTGAAGTAGATTTTGGATTGCACTAACTTTAAAATGTGGGCTTGTGCTTAAAAAGGTTGGGGTCCACTGCAGAAGGGGTTGTAACCAGTTAACTTATTGTCACCTAACACAGTATTGCAGCCACTTGGGTGGTTAATATGCATTAACTTTAGAAAACTGCCTACTTTGCAAATGCTTTAGATCAGTGGTCCCCAACACGGTGCCCATGGGTGCCATGGAGCCCGTGGGGGCATTTCTGTGCGCCCGCCAAGTGCTCGGGGCTGGCCTGGCCCCGGGCATGTGGCGCATGCATGGTGCCGGAGCCAGGCATGGAGCACAGTGAGCGCCGCGAATTGGCCGCCCGTGCCCTGGGTGCGCGGTGCCTGGTGGGGAGGGGTGGCCGGCCCCGGGCATGCGGCCCTTGGAGGGGGGGCCGGCCCCAGGCGTGCGGCGCATGGGGGGGCCCTGCTCCCGGGCACGCGGCTATGAGGGGGGCCCTGCCCCCGGGTGAGCAGGTATCCCCACCCTCTGGTGCCCAGCAGGCGAACAGCCACGCCCCCCAGCATCCAGCAGCCTCAAATGGTTGGGGACCACTGCTTTAGATTGTGATGCAGTTGCTAGCTTGTAACTGAGTTGATGCATAAATGATGCTCCTAGCTTTGCCTTTCCTGCCCTCTTTGGTAGGAGACATAGGAAGTATCATCTGCTAAATACACTACTTCTCCTCTCTGTAAAGCATTGCAGAATAGTTGCTCAAATTTTTCTTAGTGTTGGATGCAAGGAATAGATCACTCCTAAGTGTTCTGTGTGTTTGGTGTAAAACAGTGTTAAAAATCTTATGTTCCCTATACTAAAAAGACTTCCATTGTTCTCAGGTGTATTCTCCATAACTTGGGTGGAAAAACAGATGTCCAACCTCTATGAAATGGTAAAGGCAGCCTTCTG